TGAGCGGAGGGAAGGAAGGTGCAATGCTATATGATTTCACTCGTAAGTGGAATCTAAAAAACAAACAAAAACACAAATGATTAAACAAACCAAAAGCAGAATCAGACCCGTAAATACAGAGAACAGACTGATGGCTGCCAGAGGGGAGGGGGTGAAGGGATGGGCTCAATGGGTGAAGGGGAGTGGGAGATCCAGGCTTCCAGTTACGGAATGAATAAGTCACGGGGATGAAAGCCACAGCATAGGGAATATAGTCAATGATATCGTAATAGAGATGTAATGGGACAGACGGGAAGCTACACCTGTGGTGAGCACAGCATCATGTGTAGAGTTGGTAAATCACTATGTTGTACACCTGAGACTAATGTGACATGGTGTGTCAACTATACTCAAATAAAAACAAAAAGTCTTTTACTAGTTGTAGCCTCTTAGGGCTTCACTGACTTCCTCTGTCCCTCTGTCTTTATAACACCGATGGATTTACTTTGTTTCCAGCATCAAATCAGATTTTCAGAACTGAGGAATAAGAGATTAAAGAGAGCGAAGATGGATTCTTTGTTTGGTTTCCCTAGGCAGAAAAAGTTGTTATTCACATCAACTATCAGGAGGCGCTTTGTCAACACCTGGCAGAATTGCTGAGAGTATTAATGAAATCACATATGCAATTTACATATGTGATTTACATACTGCAGGAGGTGCTCAAAAACGTTCATTTTACTTCTCTTATGGCAAACTCACCAAATGCATGGGCCTAGGCTGCCTAAAGTCCACTCCAGCTAATATTTCATGTCAACCCACGTGTGCAATACTGCTGCTCAGCTCCACAGCCAGAAAAGTGACTCAGAATTCTCCAAGTGCAAAAATCAAGGCTCCAAATTTGGGTGGTAGGGGAAGGGGTGGAGGAATAAGAGAATTAAACAAGGTGTTCAACAGATTATGCTAACAAAAACTGAGAAAATTTAATACCAGCAAAGGGATGTTTAGAACTGTGGGTACTTTGTGGATTAACTGGTGAAAAAAGAATACCTTTGCCTAGAATGTTCACATAAATGCAAAAGTGGGTTTTCCTGCTTCAGCAGAAGCTGAATTACCTCAACTGTCCACTTTACTCACGTAAGAGAGTTTAAGTAAAGAGCGAGCAGGGGCCACCTCTCATATGTTTGTATCATGAGAAAAAGAACCAAAAGAGAAAATGAAAAAAACTCAAAATTCAAGTTGCTATTTCAAATGGTATATATTTCCTTATGAAATACCAAAATGTGAGTTAAGTACCCAAGAATCAGAATAAATCTTGCCTTGTAATTGTTGGCCAAAACGCTTCCTCAACACAAGAAAACTTTTTGAATGCCAATATGATTTCTCGGGAGTGATAAGTAACCTAGTAATAATGTTAAGGCCCCAACATGAAGAATTTTGGCAACAAAAACAGACGGTTAATTCTACTTAAAAGACCGGGTAGCCCTGCCAGCCGGTGTTGTTCCCAAATGAGGTAATGTCCATGGCTCTTATCTAGCCTTTATGGAGATTTAATGTCATTTACCATTAGCTCTTATGAACCGGCTGCATAATCTCACCTTTTCTCATGTGCGCTACTTCCATGCGTCTCAACATTGCAATTAGAAACCTCTGGTTTTTAAAATGATTAAGAAACTGATTCCCACATGTTTTCTTTTTATGCATGTCCTATAATTTCAGTCTTTCTTCCATCGTTCCAGAAAATTCAGAGATCAGCATATTTCTCATTTTCAAGGTATCTTATAGAAATACTCTGAGGTTTGATATATTTATGTAAATATTTTTCAAAGAAGCCAAAATGTGTAATTCAAGAAAACATTCTGTGAAAGAATTTGTTTTCTGATTACAAAATGATTTCCTCCTTTTGAAAAAAAAAATAGCAATTTTATATTTACTTAGCTGGCTCTGAAAGTCCCATGGAGATTCTCACGCCTTTCAATCCCAACACCTCTTTTCCAGGTGCAGGCCTCTTACAGGTTTCAAAGGTAGCTTTATGTGGAGAAGGAAGCCAAAAGCTATGGAAAGGAAAGAGAAAAAGAGCCCTCCCCATCTTAACCCCTTATGCTTTCCTCACAAAGAACAACAGAGTGAAACCAAGCTATTACAACGCAGATGAGACACCCAAATGGACACGACAGAAAGATTTTCACATGCCTTTGACTTCCTTTTTTCACCCAGGGTACAAGCCAATCTTGGTAAAGACAGGCATCCATTTGACAAACACGAACACGATACCCAACACCCAACACCCATACTGTTCTGTTTTGTTTTCAACAAGCCCTTCATCTCCCAACACTCAGGAACAAAGGCGACAGCCACAACCAACCTGGAGTTACGGGCTTTTTCCCTTTCCACGGAGTTTCACACTTTAGGTCACAGGAAAAGTAAATTTGAGATATCAGGGGCCCAGAGACAGAGCAGAAGACCATGCTTTGTTGCTGGGCAGAGCGGTGAGACACAAGCCAGACCTGTCAGTGCTGTATGCGGGAAATAAGGCTGGGAGGCCCATTTGTACAAGTGGTGAGACAGCCAAAGAAGCAAATCCAGCCTCACCACTTCTGACAAAAGTTAGCCAACAGTGGATCTGCAGGAAAGAAAATCTGATGGCTGACCCCCCTCCTCCCTTGACGATCTGAGCCCTCCTTCTAACTCAGCTGCAGAATCTAGACATCTTTGAAAAGCCTGTTCTTTGTTACTCATCATTGCCGGCTCCTTCACTTCAAAGCAGCAGAGTCTGACAGAATCAAACCATCTAACTTGTATGCGCCTCAGGGTCCCACGTTTAAAACCCAGATAATACCCTCCGGTCCTGACTTCATCACCGAGATATAGTGAGGACCAAGGGAGACGAGCGCTTGAGGGCCTCCACTGAAGAGACCACGAAAGACCTACAGTGTATACAACACAGACCAGAGGGCCTGCTCTGGGGCCCTTGGGGGGTCGCCACACTCTTTTCAGGAGATCTGCAAGATCAAACTATTTTCAAAATGCCACTAGGCCACTCCTCCCCTCCTTTACTCTCCTTCTCGTACAGCACACAGTGGAGTCGGCTACAAGGTGTGTGAGGATGTCATCACTCTAATCATGACTAATGGAATGTGTGCTTGTGAGTTCTTGTGTTTTAAGATTTCCTGTTTCAGAGTCTAATTAAATATCGATAGACAAAAGCTCTTTGGAATTCTCAATAACTTTCCTAAGGTTAAAGAGCTCCTGAGACCAGTGTGAGACCAGCCAACCTGGAACTTGGTCCCACTGAAGCTTGTAGTTCCCAGGTGGGTCAACTTCTCACCCACCCTGAGCCTTGCTATGTGCTGTTCTCTCTGGGCGGGGGACTCCCCCTCCCTCCTCTGCTTGGCTAACTTTTTCTGCTCTTTACTTAGATGTCGTTTTCTCTGGGAAGCTTTCCTTGACTTCCCCAAAACCAGTCAGGTGGCCCTGCTGTGGGTTCCCCTAGCACGTAGCATGCTACACTGTGATTGCCCACGTTAGGCCTTTTTTTTGGGCTTTGACTCCTTCAATGCAACAACTGTTCTGAAGGACACAGTAGTAGGTAGGAGGCATTCCATAACTACTTGCTGAATATATATACAATGACCAAGGAAGGAAGGCAAGAAGATAGGTCTCTCTTGCATTCATTCTCACCTAGAGGGAATCAGTTACTAAAAATATTAGTGTTCATTATAGTACAAGCTCACTAAAGCTATGATAATAATAACAATAGTAACCATATATCATATTATGTACTCGGTACTATTCTAAGCACTTGATATGCATAAATTAATTTAATCCTCACAAAATCCCTACCAGGTATACATTACTATTATCCTTATTTCAAAAATGAAGATACAACACTGAATGTTAACTATACACTAATTAAAATAAAAAACTTAATAAAAACAATGAAGAGAGAGAAATGCAGGTATTGAGTAGTAGATTTGAGATGGACACTGAGCCCGTCTGGCTCCAGAGTCCCATGCCATTAACCACTCTATACGCTGTCTCTCGTGTCAGCAGGGTAGACCTCAAGCTTATCATATCTTGAGATCGCAAGGCCACCTCTCAACTCTGCTCACAAACCAGACACGATTTGATATTTAAATCCCCCTGCAATACCAACCCACCACGAGTGACCCCAGCAGACACATGAACAGATCTCACCAGTACCATCTGCTCCCTAGGCGATAGGTAGGGCTTAAAAAAGACAGTTTCAGTAAGAAGTCTATTTCTCATTCATTTGTTGTACGTTAGTCCTTTCTAGAGGAAATGGTACGTTAAAAGTGATAAGTATGGGGCGCCTGGGTGGCTCAGTCATTAAGTGTCTGCCTTCGGCTCAGGTCATGGTCCCAGGGTCCTAGGATTGAGTCCCGCATCGGGCTCCTGGTTCGGCAGGAAGCCTCCTTCTCCCTCTCCCACTCCCCCTGCTTGCATTCCCTCTCTCGCTGTGTCTCTCTCTGTCAAATAAATAAATAAATAATATTTTTAAAAAAGGCGATAAGTATATTTGTATATTTATTAAAAATAAAAAGTCTCTTTTGTAGCACAGAGAAAACAGGAAAGTAGGGATTGACCTTTCCACGTACTACGGTGTTAACGCTGCCAGGCAAACTCTCCCTGATGTGTATAACTCTCCTTCTGTGTCTGGTGCTAACCTCTTTTTCAAGGAATGCTCAAAACTTCACCCTGAACAGGGAGTGGCCCAGAATATTCTGCAGGTACTTGATGGAAAAGACAAAACTCTAAATGGTTCAGAGAGGTAAGTCCAAATGGGAAAGCATGCTATATGAAACAGTTTTTTTTTTTTTTTAAAGATTTTATTTATTTATTTGACAGAGGGAGCGAGAGAGCACAAGCAGGGGGAACAGTATAGGGAGAGGGAGAAGCAGGCTCCCCGCCAAGCAGGGGGCCTGATGCGGGGCTCGATCTCAGGACCCTGGGATCATGACCTGAGCCGAAGGCAGATGCTCAACCATCTGAGCCACCCAGGCGCCCCTGACACAGGATTTAATGCAAAAGACGATCTGACTGAATCACAGTGTGATGAAATGAAAAAAAGCACACCTAGGAAATACCTTTTCTTTCAGCAATAGAAAAAAGTTCCACAGATAAAGTTAAAAGCTTATGTATCAAATCTTTACCTGCCAACAGTACATGAGAAACCAAAGTTTATCCTGTGCTGTTTGACACAAAGTAACTGTATTTACCTGGAGAAGTGTCCCATGAATATGGTTTTGCCGGAAACACTGATCAGTGCAGTTGGGGAGTTTGGCCAACAGAGTTCGGATGGTAGTGGGGATTTCATCTACCATAACAAATGGGACCAAGGCACGAGCTGCCATTACACGGGAGCGGTAGACAGGTGAGCGACCACATCTGGGGAGACAAAAACACAAGACCACTCAATACTCATTTCCACATACATGCCTTTGTATATGCTAATGTTCTATCTAGCTCCAGCGGAGACATCCGAGTTGGGGGAGACAGGAGTTCCTCCTTATTCCAAATTTTTTTTTTATACTTGCCTTATTCCAATGATTGTGTTTGTAGTAGTGTTAGCTCTACAGGTGATTTTCCTTTTCATATAAATATCATTAATATCTATGGTTTTTTTTATTAACATATAAATTGTTTCAGAGGTACAGATCTGTGATTCATCAGTCTTACACAATCACAGAGCTCACCATAGCACATACCCTCCCCGATGTCCATCACCAGCCACCCCATCCCTCCCACCCCCCTCCACTCTAGCAACCCTCAGTTTGTTTCCTGAGATTAAGAGTCTCTTATGGTTTGTCTCCCTCTCTGGTTTCATCTTGTTTCATTTTCCCCTCCTTCCCCTATGATCCTCTGTCTTGTTTCTCAAATTCCTCATACCAGTGAGATCACATGATACTTGTCTTTCTCGGATTGACTTATTTCGCTTAGCATAATACCTTTTAGTTCCATCCATGGTGTTGCAAATGGCAAGATCTCATTCCTTTTGATGGCTGCATAATATTCCATTGTATATATATACCACATCTTCTTTATCCATTCATCTGTTGATGGATATCTAGGCTCTTTCCATAGTTTGGCTATTGTGGACATTGCTGCTATAAACATTGGGGTGCATGTACCCCTTCAGATCACTACATTTATATCTTTGGGGTAAATACCCAGTAGTGCAATTGCTGGGTCGTACGGTAGCTCTATTTTCAACTTTTTGAGGAACCTCCACACTGTTTTCCAGAGTGGCTGCACCAGCTTGCATTCCCACCAACAGTGTAGGAGGATTCCCCTTTCTCCACGTTCTCGCCAACATCTGTCCTTTCCTGACTTGTTAATTTTAGCCATTCTGACTGGTGTGAGGTGGTATCTCATTGAGGTTTTGATTTGGATTTCCCTGATGCCAAGTGATGTTGAGCACCTTTTCATGTGTCTGGCCATTTGGATGTCTTCTTTGCAGAAATGTCTGTTCATGTCTTCTGTCCATTTCTTGACTGGATTATTTGTTCTTTGGGTGTTGAGTTTGATAAGTTCTTTATAGATTTTGGATACTAGCCCTTTATCTGATATGTCATTTGCAAATATAAAGATTTTATTTATTTATTTGACAGAGAGAGAGACAAGAGCAGGAACACAAGCAGGGGGAGTGGGAGAGGAAGAAGCAGGCTTCCAGCAGAGCAGGGAGCCCAATGTGGGGCTCGGTCCCATCCTGGGATCATGACCTGAGCTGAAGGCAGACGCTTAACGAGTGAGCCACCCAGGTGCCCCAATAGCTATGGTTTTATAACAGGGATAAATGCAGATCGGCTTTGGGAATGATTCAATAAATAGGTAGTAGCAAAAATAGCTTCCTCCTCAACCATCAAACAACTATTCATTGGGCACTCAAAATGAACAAATGATAAGTGCCATGAGAAATAAAACAGTCATTGTGGTCTTTGGGGAGCCTATACTCTGGCTGGCAAGATGAGCAGTACATTTGAGAAGATGACCAAAAGCACAAGACAGTCCTGGAAAAGCAATAAGCAAGTGATTATCATGTTATGGCTACATGAAGATAAGACTGTAGGTGGTGGTATCGAGAAGGATAGAACTAAGGAAAGCAAGCATGATTCTAAGAAGGCTGAAACCAGGAAGTTGTTTCAACCAGAAACAGTGGGATAAAGCAAGGGTAAAAATGCTCAAGGTACAGGTAGATGTGTCTGACTAAAGGAGAGGCTCAGAAATAACAGTGGAACTTCAGGCTGAGAAGTGGGTCCGGCCAGACTGGGTAGTACCACAAAGCGCAGACATGATCTTGAACTTATTGTCAAGAGAACAAGAGTTGGACCCTCAAGTCACTGAACCTTTGCCTCTAGGCTGACTCACACCCAAAGAGCTTGAATAAAAGCCAGTTCTTAAATCAATGAAAGTCACGGACAAGTGGTACTTTGAGATTCTACGAAGGTCATTGGAAACACAGGTCATCTAAGGGCCTCTTGACTTTGTAAACACTCAGAACCTGAGAGTCTACAATCATTTTGTTGAAACTGTGCACTTGAGAGCCTTCAAAGAGATAGTGTTATTTGAGAGGAAGGCCCAATATGATAGGTCTTGGCTTAAATAAGTTCTTATCTAGAACTCTCAAGACTCCATGATCTTTTTATCCAATTTAAAAAGTAACTCAACTTAGAGAAATATCTCAGATGCCAAGACAAGGATGGGGAAGATTAGAAGATAGTAGACTGTGGAGGAAAGAGATGGTCTCTTGCTTTGTTTTCAAAATTACTTAGTGTTCCAAAAGGAATTACTGGTAAGATCTGGGCCATGTAGGCTTAGCATGTAGAGGGACAAAGCCCTATGACTGAAACATTTCTAATACCCCAGAGGTATCACTGACATTTATCTTAACATGACAGTAAAAGAACAGATACAATTTCTATACAATTTCTGTTTGGAATGATCCAAACAGAATTTCATCATGGGGAGTGGTAAGTCAAGCATTGTGTCATTCTTTTCCCCGCTACAAGTGTAGATCTGTGAAATAGGTCAATCAGCACTCATTTTATGGATGGAGAAGAGCTCACCTTACATGGTACTATGGGAAGACACTGAGGGCTAATGTTACAGTAGGTAGCTAGAGATTTCCCAGTGGTCTTTGACTAGGTTCTGCCAAATCACCCATTTTCTACATATTTTTCTTTTAAAATGATTAAATGTTTAATCTTTAATTGGCAAATACAGTAAAATGTTTGCTTTGGCTCATGGTGGGGGGAGGGGTGCTGAGAAAACTTCACTTGACAGAGAAAATACTCTGAAAATGCTTTGAGATTTAATTAGCAATGACCTCACTCAGCCCAGTCATTTGTCGGAAGCTTCCCCATCTGTCTGTCCCCTACCCCTCCAACACACACACTTTGTGTTAGAGTGTGTTTTATGTTACTGTACTGGGCTCTTGTATATAAATGTTTCTTTTCAAATACAAATAACTCTGACATGGTTACAGATGTTTAGTTTCTAATTAGCAGTAACTGTACACTAAAGAATGCCCCTCCTTTTGCTCCTGACCTTTAGCAAATGATGATTTCCCAAAGGAATCTGGCATCCATACAGGAGAAAGAATGGAAAGTGGGAAAAGTGCCAGAATTTTCTGTTTTCAGATACCCTGTGCTAGGGTACTTTCCAAATGCACACAATCAGGTTAAAAAGCAAAACAAAATCTCCCCTCAAGAAAGTAATGCAATTACAGAAAAAGAGAAGCTTACTTTAAAAGTAATATTTAATTATCACTCATTGTGAAACAACGATTAAATGTAATTTCAAACTCCTCTCTACTGCACATTGTTAAAATGGAAGGACAGATTATAGTCAAAACACACACACACACACACACAACTATTAAGCAAAATTTCCAGGTTACTGTTTTGTCAGTTACTGGGGGCAGGGAGGGGTCTGATGAGATTTAGCTTTTCTCCAGGTCTATGTGGCCCGGAGTGTGAGAGGATATAAACACAGTGTTTCTAGCCCTGAGCAAAATATATTTGAAGCTAAAATCTATCTTTCCCTTGGATAGAGTCTCCTAGTTTGATTCAGTAAATGTGCCAAAATCAAGCAGAGATGCTCTCTGGCAATACAGTCTAGTGGCTAGAAAGGATGGAAAATCAGAACACGGGGATCTCCATCCTGCTTTTGGATACTGTTTTATGACCTGGACAAGTCACAGTAACCTCTCTGGGTCTCAGTTGAGCTGACAGTGGTAGCAATAATCTATACACGGTGTTCTCACCTGATGTCTATGAGAACATTCCAAGGGGAAAGATGCTTTGGAGATAGAAAGTTTCCATAGTGCAATGTGCCTGTGTCCAGTACAAAATCAGCATTTTCTAAAAATTGCAGGCCTCTAAGTGGCTTCAATGAGAGAATTAAGACTATGGTGTGAATGCTGAACCATTTTTAAGAAGGTAAGACAACAAATTGATGATATGAAGGCAATGAGTTTTGTTTTGTTTCGGGGCTTTTTTTTTTTTTTTTTAAGTCTCCATTAAGAGGGATGAGGAGGAATCTCAAGTCCTTCTAAAAAGAAGGGGGACTGCTCCTGTCTGTCTAAGCCTCAATTTCTTCTGGAAAATAAAGCAAGTGGATTTGGGATCTCAAAGGTCATTTCTCCTTTTACTATTGTTTGAAAACCGTGTCCTCAGTCTCCCCAGCCGTGTTCTAGGCCTGAACACTAGGTCCTTCCACAGGATGTGCTGGACATGCAGACACCCGAACCTCGAGACCTTTCACTCCAATAAACCCTTTCCACGTTCATTTTAATCTCGTCTTTACTGAGTGCCTACTGTGCTCTCAGCACACCTGTCATGGTAATACCTGCATCCCGCAATTATATAGCTTTGGCAGTTTAAAATAAACACCTGCACACCCATATTTCTTTATCATGCAACATTCCTGCAGCACATGAGGGCATTATAAACCTAAATTAACAGATGAAACGTAAAGCGAAGCTCAGAAAAGCTAAGTGGACCCTCCAGGATACATAAGCAGTAGCACCCAGGCCAGAACCACCATCCATGGCTCCACGATGGAGCTTGTGGGCTATTCCAAGCTGTAGCTCACACCTGGAAATCGAGGGAGCATAAAAATATCTCCCAGCTAATAAAAACACAAGCTTTACAAGCATGGAGAAAATCTCAAAATAAGTGTGTTTTTTGGTTTTGTTTTTAACATTTGCAGGATCATGAAAACATTTCGGGATCTCACGTACACTATGGACTCTCTCAAGAGAGACAATGGATTTACAAACATACACACACAATTTCCCATATAATTCCAGGGGTTCATGACACACACCTAAAACCCATGGGGCAGGGCTCCCCAGACACAGGGCAACAATCTCCAGTTGCTCCTTT